AATAATTAATTGTTGTAGTGTTGAGATGCTCAAAAAAGTTTAAAACACTGCAAGGTTAATACACGGGCAATATATATTAGGAATAACATGTATGGTGTATGCAGTTTCTTTGACAATGGTATGCTTTAATACGTGTTATGCATATGAATTTGAACTAGAAATAAGATCAAGTCGTGGGGGTGGACATGGTTCTATATGGTTCTAATTCCAAAAAAATCAAACCAATAACCAACGATTTTTTGATAATGATTTTTAAGATATGGAACCAAACCGAATCGAACCGTTCGATTTTGGTTTGGTTTGATTTTAGTTTTATTTCTTAAATTTTCGGACTTACAAGATATAAGTTAGTAATATATATGTAAATACAAAAAATCAAACATTCAGCAAATTCAATTTATTAATCAGATCACAAAACTTCAAACTAACAAATAAATTATAGCTATAATTTGAATACTCATATATAAAATTCACCATTAAGTTTGTTTCTGATTCTCAATTTTAGAACTAGAACAGAATCAGAACCAAATGGTTCTAGGTTCAAGGAATCGAAACCATTATTTTTTGAAAATCGAAATCGAACGAACTGCTCGATTTGGTTTGGTTTGGTCTAGACATTTTGTCCTCCTGTATCAGGTCGTGTTTAGAATCGAATTACCTTATCTTGGAAAAAAGTTAAGTACAATAAGATTATTGATTGTAAAAAACACATGAATAAAATTAAATTACATAGTTGAGAATTGAAAATAGATAATAATAATAATAGTCGGATTCGTAGTCCAATATAATCATTCATGTGAATGTTTGTATTAGAATTTTGAATCTCCCTGTTGCCATTTAATTCGATTCTTAATTCATGATCTAGTAAATTCATACATTCAAGATAATCAATAGTCCATTTTTATTCAATATCCATTTCCAAGATATATTAGATTTATGTTTACCCCAACCCGAATCCTATTCATATTATGAATTCATATGAAAAACATGCATCGATTTACAAGATTTATCACACGTGATTGCATATGCTATAGATATTATTCCTAATACCCACTGTCCATGTGTTGATTTTGTCACATTCTAGATTTATTGTGAGTATTCCAACACTAAACAACTTACTATCTAATAGGTGATCAAGCAATTAAATAGTTCAATGGGAATGCAAAACCAATCAAGAAAGATCAAGAAATACTAAGTTAATTGTCTTGAATTAAAATACACAAACAATGGTGTTCATTATTCATCCAATACAATGAAAAACTTAATCTAACATTTTTATAATTAAATTATACAAAAATAGTGGGAAAAAATCACCCGAAAATAAGAAAGATTGAAGTTGGAGAAATATACTTTTTTTTCCCAAATCTTGAAATCGGGCTATGAATCTTCAAAATCCTTATATGATTTGTCTTGAATTATATAGACTTGTTTTTCACCTCCAAGATATGCAGAATATGATGAAATTAAGGTTCTAATGGAGTTTTCCCATGTTTTGATCGAATTTTGGTATTAAAAGAATGCAAAAAAGTTTGCATTTAATTGTTACCAAAACAAAATAAGAAAAATCGAATTATTTCCATTTTTGTATTGAGGAATGTGCCTAGTTGAGGTGCCTTTTTTTGTTGAGACAAGCGCTTATCTTGCAGGAGAGGGCTCGTGCTTCGCCTAAGCTCCGACAGCTGAACAGTTTTTGGAATTTTTGTCATAACTTTTTCTTTCAATATCCAATTGGAGTGGCTCAAAGTGAGTTGAAAACTAATTCAGAGTGCTATAATTCTTTTAGCAATATCATTTTTTAATTCAAACATTTGCTATACCAAAATTGAGTCTAAATATAAGGTTGAAAATTCGAAGCATAACTTTTTCGATTGAAGTTGATGTGTGATAATATTTTGATTATATTTCATCATTTTGACTTCTTTTTTCAACCACCCGACCTCTAGGACTCTTGAATCTCCATCGTGAGGTTCGAAACAAATTTTAAGTATTTACATTTTAGTCCCCGAACTTTGAACTTGCTTTATTTTACCCATTTTATGTTATTTCTTCCAAATTTTCACTTAACATGAGTTTTTTTGTCTAGTAAAGCAATAAATAACGAATTGCACACTAATTCATCCAAAGAAATAACAAAATGTTATCATCTAGAACCCCGAATAAGTTTAGGAACCACACTTATCATAGGTCCTTGGTCAAATCATATACACAACTTCTAACTTTATTCAATTTGATACGTAGTACGTAAAAGTCATTGAAATATAGCAAGGTTGACTAGCTCGTTGTAATTGTGACTGAGTACCAGTTTACGTGACAGTGGGATTCTCAATTTATTATATTAAAATGCATCATAACTCCATTGAACTATAAACTAAGGGACACACTGCTACCTAGACTACTACTAATTGTGATGAATAACATTTGTGTCAAGTTTTAACTACAAAAAGTTGGCAAAAAAAAGGAACAAAAGGGATAGTCGTCCACGTCTATAGCAATAGACAACCAATGTAGGATATTGATAAGTGCGTTTTACATACTTATTTTGGCAAAAAAACATGGATAATTGTTGAAAAATATGTTGGATATGGCTTAATTCTATATAACTTATGTTTTGTAGGACAAAATTGATAAATATGCCTAAATTTAGGAAAACAAGCGAAGAAAGACCAAAATAGAAGAAAATCAAATTTAGGGACCAAAGTGTAATTCTATATAAATTATATTTTGCAGCAGAACAACATTGATAAATATGCCTACATTTAGGAAAACAAGCGGAGAAAGACCAAAATGGAAGAAAATCAAAGTTTAGGGACCAAAGTGCAAATAGTCAAAAGATGACCCTGAAGTGGAAATGAAGATATGAAAGATTTAATGACTAGTTTAGTAGAGACATGAAGTATTTGATAAAGAAGAAATGAGAAAAAATGTCAAGAAATGAGAAAACGAATTTCGAGGATTGAAACGCAACTTTTGGAATCTTGTTAACACTATACGATCGCACAGTTGTTTGCCTATGTGGTCGCATGTCCATTCTCAGCAAGTTTTAGGGCCAAGTTCCATTCAACTATGCTATAGTATAGTACAATTCCGACTAAAAAATTCTGGTTTCTTTATATGACTCAAATTCTTATGAAAACAAACATTGAGACTTCTTTTAAAGACCTAGGGCTGTCCATAAATGTTGACAATGCATCATAACACATTCATATAGGTTTTAGAGCATAGAAGAAGGCAAGAAACACGAAGATTGATTCCAAGATCTGAAGATTCAATTCGAGATTTAATTGGGTGATATCGATTCTTCAATATTTTTTTTGATCTTCCGAACATGTTTGACAAGATTTATTTATGCTAGGAGAACGATATATTTGGCATTAAAAATATGTTTTTGGATATTGAATGATTTATATAAATTTCTTTTCTTCATTTTTGGATATTGAATGATTTATATGAATTTCTTTTCTTCATAATTATTGTGCACGGTGGTTATGTGAATGTGGTGGCTTATTTTATGCATTCGAAAGAAGGAAAATAGGCTCAACATGGTATAAATCATTATAGGATTCGATAGATGATAGAGATATACCATTATGCTTTGTGTGAATCTTTGAGTGTTTGTAAAAATTCATACATTCTAGTATTTTTGCATTTGTCATAGAAATATAATCAAGTCATATATGATAATATGTTTGACATTATTCGAGAGAGATTGTTGAATAAAATAAGAAATTTATTCATCAAAATTCAATCATGTTGTCAAGGAGTAGAACAAAGATTAAAAATGATTATTGTATGGGATTTTGGGATCCCAGTGCATTCGTCATTCGTTAGAACACATCAACTTTCATTTAGCATAATTTACATTTAATTTAGTTAATTCGTTCATAATTGCATACGTAACTTACTTTAGTTATAATTTCATCGCAACAATCATGTCTTAATATTCTTGTTTCGATTAAGGTCGTGATAATAAAAATTGAACTAAGTCAATCCTTGTGGGAACCATACTTGGACTCAAAATTCACTTATTATTTGTTAACGAATCATACACTTGCGGTGATTTAATTCAAAAGATGTTTCCTTGAACAGATACCTTGCCCTGACATGTTTCAATCCACTCCTACTATATAGATCGAATTTTAACGTTGAGACGCACAAGAGATTCATTCTTGATAGTTACCAACCTAAATACTAGAATACGTAAATTTCCTTTTCCCTATTTCAACCCCTTTTCAACTTTTTATATATAAGTTGAATTTAAAGCTAATCTATCTATATATACGGAATGTATGACTAGATTCCATGAAGTACGCTATATTCTCTTAATTTTCATGCATGATCCTTGGATAAATTTGCTCTCCTTGTTTTTCAATATATTAGTTAAAGCTTAGTCAGAATCAATCTTAAGTTGTACTTTATTTATTTTGCCATTAGTAAAATGTTTCACCAAAGAAACCACCAGGCTACCTTTCCCTTCCTTTATAAATGTGTATATATATGGCTGAATATATTATCCTATATATATTTATGAATATACGGTATGGGTATACTGCACTATGTACAAACAGTTCCATGCAAAGAAAAAAGATAGAGAAATGGAAGAAAATGGGGAGTGGGGAAGGAACAGACCGGATATGAAAAAAGTTTTATTCGGTCGGGACACTCTTGTTTCCAACCAAGCACTCCCAACGCTCATCTTTTTGAAATTTCTTAAATTTATTTAATCATTCTCTTGAAACTTGCCATTAGAATTAAGCTAAGTTTGCTTAATGCTTGTGTAAGACTGTGGAATAATTAAGCTGGGAACCACTTTTGATTACCTATTCCCTTTCGCTCTAAATTATACAGGAATAAGAGGAATGCACTACACAAGATCAACCAAAAGCTTAAAGGTTAAGTAATTAAGAAACCTGGCCCTCTCGAAACCCTAAAAAGCAATAAAACATAAAAAGTCACAGAATGAAAACAAACAAGTATTGTGAATGGTGTGTGTATATATATGTGCGCTCATAAAGCTCCTACTTTATTAATTTAGCTTCTTATTCTCTCTCTCTCTCTCTCTCTCTCTCTCTCTCTCTCTGTTTTTGTGTATGCTAAACCTCAGGCTAGTTGATGTGATTCTCCAAAAACCTTTACAAAAGAAGAAAGATCAAGAGTTAACCATGGATTTTTCTTCAATTCCAGCTTATCTTGATTCAGCCAACTGGCAACAGGTAACGGTTTTCTTTGATTTCGCAAGTTTCAATGGCTTCTTTGCTAAAAAAGCTAAATTCTAAAGAAAAATATTCCAATCCCTTTTTGTTTCTTTATTTTTTTGACGTCTTTCTTGCCTCTTTAATTTTGTTGAATATACCAGATGTTCATCTTCTGCTTTTACTGATTTTTTCAGCATCAAAACCATCAAATTGGAAGTAGTTCCACAAACTCTTTACTTCCACCTGCACCACAGACTGCGCCGCCTCCACCACCAGCCCGGCAGCTGCCACATGCCACCGGTGGTTCAGGATCTATTCGGCTGGGAAGCATGGCTGAACGAGCCCGGTTAGCCAGCATACAGATGCCAGAAGCTGCCCTCAAATGCCCTCGATGTGAATCCACAAATACAAAGTTTTGCTATTTCAACAACTATAATCTTGCGCAGCCTCGACACTTTTGTAAGAGCTGCAGAAGGTACTGGACTAGAGGCGGCGCTCTGAGAAACGTCCCGGTTGGAGGTGGTTGTAGGAGAAATAAAAGAAGCAAAGGTACTAATACAAAGTCTCCTGTCAACACTGAGGGGCAAATTACCTCCTCCAGTTCTACAAATCCCGTTTCCTCTGACAATGGAACAACCAATCCATTAGGCCTCACCCCTCAAATTCCGCCTCTTCGGTTTATGTCTCCTTATTTGAGTCAGTTCACTGATAACTACAGTACAGGAGATATTAGCTTAAGTTACGGTGGAAATGCAGCTCCGGCGATGGGAACAAACGATAGGAATTTTCCAGTAGAAAGCAACTTACTTTGTGGTCAGATGGGTGGTGGAGTGACTTCTGTATTATCAAGTGGTAGCATTGAGCAGTGGCGGCTGCAGCAGCAATTCCCTTTCTTGGGTGGTTTGGATCCATCTCCTTCCGGGCTTTACCAATTTCAAGGCGGAATGGAGCAGTCGAGTTTTGTTGGTGATCATACCATGAGGCCTAGACTTTCTAGCTCAATGTTGACTCAACTTGCATCAGTGAAATTGGAAGAAAATCCCAGATTGTCAAGGCAATTTATGGGAAATGATCAGTGGAGTGCTGGTGCTGCTTGGACAGATCTCTCTAGTTTTAACTCTTCCTCCACAAGCAATCCCTTGTAAAATCTATATCGTCTTTGGTTTATGATCTGCATATGTCTCATCACGAAGCTTAAGAACTTATCTGTAGAGCTTCAAGTGCAGAAATTTACTCTTGGAACAAAGATCATGAAGTAGTATGGCTAGCTAGAATCTAAACCAATATCGATCGAACTATAATTAAGGGATGATCGAAGACTTTATCTGCCTAAGATCGACTGAAAACCCTAGGATTAATGGTAATTTTTTTTTTTTTGTCAGCTTTCTTTGTGATGCTTGATTAGAATGTTAGACAAGTGAGTGTTTGGATTTCTTTAGCTTTTTACACATTCTAGAGATGAAGGCCTAATGTTTTTAAAGAATGTTCCAAACTTTCATTCTCATTTGAGTTTCTTAAATTATGTATGTTTGTACAGGATACGAATTTTAGTATTTTTATGGTCAATTAGGTTTCCTTCTTTTCCAGTTCACCAAAATATTAATATGCTGAAGCTTTACAAAAGAATGCATGCTTAGATTTTGTATTGATTAATTAACTTGCTCAATGTATAGAGTTACCTTTGGTAAGATTATTTAAAATATTACAGAAGACTATTTAAATGTAGAGCTTTTGGAGTGGAGAAACAATTATTTATATATATTTATATGGTTATAGTTCGATTTTAATTTTCAGTTTTTTTCTAGTATTGATTCTTTAATTTAATTTTTTAATTTTTATGGTAAGAACTAAATTAATGAACTTGAAGCCGAGGTAGAAAAATAATTCATATATATTAAGCATTTTGGTACATTTTTTAGCCTAAAATCTAAGTTTAACTTCAGATTTTTATCGTCTCGAAAGTTTATATTATGTTATAGATTGATTTATTAGGACTTTTCGAGATGGAACTTTTTAACTAATTAAGTAATTAAGTTTGGTAACAAATAATTTTATTTGATGTCTCTTGCCATATTCATGGAAAATGCATACATTTTATAAGAGATCATATGAGATCTTCGAGCTACAAATTAAAGTATCAATTACACATTAATTGATTTTTCTTGTAATGCAGTCATAAAATCCTTAAATGTCTCAAAATTTATAAAATAGTATTCAAGTGACTTGATTAATATTTTAGAGTGAATGTAGCCAATGACCAGATTATATGATAATATTGTCCAAAATAATTCAGTCATTACTTTTTTTTTAAACTGAAAAACAACTATGTTTACGCGGGGATATCGCATTGACAAGCCTCTTAGATAATAATAATCGAATGATTTCACGATCATGTGTTTCCTTGGTGCCGATCGAGTTTAGAAGATTGTAACGTTAGATTGCAAATGTACAATTCATTTGATAATTATGAGTGATTTATGCACAATCATATTGGTGTATTGAAGTTCTCAAAATGCTTAAGCTTTGGAGGGTTTGATTCCCAACAATTTCATATCAAAGTAGTTCTCTTCATCTTCAGAAAATTCCAAACTATTCACTTTTTTTCAATGCCTAAATTTTTCAGACAATGTACCTAGAGTTTAGTTATAGCTACTTCCCCAAGAAAACTTCTTTTTCAGAATAGTACTAAACAATCATATTCTTAAATGACGGAGAGTGAAATCCTTGTACGTTGATAATTAATGTTAGAATATGTAGACTGTTAAGGTATTTATGTAAAGAGGGAGAGGTTAACAGCAGTGTCTGAAAAGTCTCGAAAATTCCCTCTCAATTTCATGCAAATTATACCTTCCAAACATTAAAGTTATCCCAGAAAACAAAGTGTGTTGAAGACTAGAATTCTTGAATTTTGTGCCCAATAATCTCTTAAAGACTGCATGCTTCAGAATCAAAGACGACAGATTTTGCTCAAATCAAGGCTGCAGAGAATTTTAAGTGCATGTTTGCTACATAATATTAAACAATATTGAATGTTATTTATAATTTATACAAAGATTAGCTTATATGAAGATTTTAGCTTTCTTGTTTTATATCTTTTACTTTCTAATATGATTTAATCCGCTCACCAAAAACTTGTAATGAGACTATTGAAAAATTAAAAAACTGCTTCTGATATTAAGAAGTTGTTTTTAAACATATTTCGATAATTTTTTAAAGTGCATTTTTTTTATTAGAATTTTTTTTAGATGAAATTGATCTAAGGTAACTTTTTCATAAAACTCTTCTATAAGAAGTGTAAGCAAAAGCACCATCAATAAATTGATGTACTTGTGTGCGTTTAATTGACTCGTTGATTGTGATGAAGTAGGGTAAGCAATTCTTTCCATATTGTATTTGGTCATTGCTTCTGACACAATATCTCTGTATGCATTGGTCCAATAGAAATATGCATCTGCAACTTAATTTTTTTTTTTTTTTTTTTTTTTTTTTTTTTTTTTTTTTTTTTTTTTTTTTTTTTTTTTTTTTTTTTTTTTTTTTTTTTTTTTTTTTTTTTTTTTTTTTTTTTTTTTTATATCAAGGTGTCTGTCTTTGACGACTATTCATTGGGTCTATGATTCGGCTCCTCTTCATACAGACCAATTAAACCGCGGGATGTGCCTCCTACTGATCAGGGTCCGAGCGCCTCTCCAACTGAACTACCAAAGTGCCTAGTGAGCCAACCCATGTTGCGCATTACCTTCTCCCTCTTTACATAAATACCTTAATAGTCTACATATTCTAACATTAATTATCACCGGACAAGGATTTCACTCTCTGTCATTTAAGAAAATGATTATTTAGTACTATTCTGAGTGAGAAGTTTTCTTGGGGAAGTAGCTATAACCAACTCTAGGTACATTGTCTGAAAAATTTAGGCATTCAAAAAAGTGAATAGTTTGAAATTTTTTGAAGAAATTTTTTGAAGATGATGAGAACTACTTTGTTATGAATTTGTTGGGAATCAAACCCTCCAAAGCTTAAACATTTTGAGAACTTCAATATACCAATATGATTGTGCATAAATCACTCATAATTATTAAAAATAAGGTTTGAAGACTCTTAGAAGAGTGCATTTCAACACATTTTATTAGATATGGTAGATAATTTAATTCAAGATGATGTTAGGATATATTATGCTCGAATTAAATTAATTCAGAAAAGTTAGTCATGTTCGGTTTGGTTAAAAATTAGAATTTTTAGTAAAATTTGATAAAAATTAATAAAATGCATGATTGAAAAGTTGATAAAAATTGTGGGTCATATAAAATATGTTGAAATTCAAAATTCATCCCACGCGTAAGTTCTGAAGATGTTAAAATTTTAATGTGATTATTTTTTATTTTTTGAGTTGAGTAGCTTCAACAAGACTTTCACTAGTCAAATTTGCTGAAGCTGTTGACAGGGGAAGAATCCAATTCAAGCTGTTATTGAGTTCCCTTTATAGCTTTATCCAATAATATATAGAGAAAAAAATATTCGCTTAAACTTTATATAGATGCTACTGCTAGTTTGTCTATATATATGTGCATTTAACTGACAAATTCTGGTTCAAATTAAAGAAGCATTATTAACTTAAAGTATGAGTAAACAAGATAATGAAAATATAAACCTTCATATTTGATTACACTCCGATCCACATTCTTTAAAACTCATTTTTTCAAAATTTATTTCTAATTACAAGTTCTTGCGTGTGGACCCCCCAAATTTCCTTTACTTTTTAACCAGTGTTAGCCAAATGAATAATGTTATTTGCAGTCATTCAATACTATAGTCACTTTACGTGATATACATGTAATGGTTAGTGATTTGTTACATAAGATAATAAAAAACTAACATATTAATGTATCAAATCACTAATCGCCATATATATGCCACATAGAATGACTATGACAATGAGCGACTGCAAATGGTATTACTCTATTCAAATATATCACTTTTTATGCATCAAATAGACTCTAAATTAAGAGAGTTTTTATGCTCTTTAGCAAGTGAATGAAATGAATACATGTTTTTCCTTATAACTTTAAGCTTTTAAATGAGTTGACTAAAAGATCTCGATTGAAATCACTCTATAATTCCGGTATACACACAAGGGTTGTGTAAACTAAAACAATAAGCTACCTAGTTATTTATGAAAATTTTAAGCTTCAACAAGAAAATTATTTCGGCCTAAACCTAAGATAACGTGCAAAAAAATATTTGAAAGAAGGGCCCCCTTTGATTACTAGTACTGTCTTAGTACAAGTGGAATTCCTCATCTTGAAGGAAAAGAATCTTACTTTTGTGAGGATCAAAGCTGCTTACCAAGAACGAATAAAGCAATTCTTACATAAATAAAGCTTCTCTCTCTCTCTCTCTCTCTCTCTCTCTCTCTCTCTCTCTCTATATATATATATATATATATATATATATATATATATTACGCCGCTTGGTCTTAAATTTGCAGTAATGTCTCAATTGTGATGCAGAGAATCATAGATCTGAATGCTGCGCACAAATCTCGGCAAGTGCTATCGAGCAGAACTTCTTGGTATATACTGTAGTGATGAAAAAAATTCAACTCAAAAATTATATAGAGTGGTCAAAATAGGATATATATATATATATATATATATATATATAATCATGTAGATTTGATTATTTGTCGGTTGGTTGTCTTCAATCTTTAGTCACGTAGTGAGAGTAATTATTGGATGTATCCCTATAGTGATCCCGAAATTGTCGATGAGCAAAATTTGTTTATATATGCGTGTGTAGTACGAATAGAACATTGGAATATTGGCTCGGAAATTGAAGCTAGATCTTGCCATGTTCATCAATTCTTGGGTGATGCATGCCCACTTCACAACCCTACAAATCTCTCTCTGTTACACTATTTATACACTGTTGCAGCTTTCACTTTTGGATATATAAAGCTATTGTTAATTAATAATTGGATTGTCACACAATTTTTGATAAAGAATTTAGTAGATTTTGATTATAGGTGATGTAATGTGAGCTTAAAAAGTGAATTAAAGTTGTGAATCCTGTGAAATGTGTACTTAAAATTGAAATTCAGTGAAGTGTTCAGATCGCGGTAACTTTAGATTGCTTGCTATTTGTGACATCACGAGAAATACAATGAGTCTTGTCATTAAGAAGATTGAGAAGTCATAACAAGATTTTCGTAGATGAATCTACAGAAAGATCATTGTACAAATTAGATCGGTGAACATATTCTAACTCATGAGGGAGGGTGGGCGGTACAAACCATGTTGCCCCCACGTTGGAGCCTCATTCCATCGATGTACGTATCAGTTCAAAAGTTGATAAAATAACAAAGTTTTATCCAACAAACACTAAGTCCCTATCTAGTAAGGATTAAAATCATATTTTTATTATATTTTGATAATAATTGATTAAATGTATTACTGAAAAGTTAAGGATCCCATAAAATGTATGATTAAAATTAATTATTGACTTTGACTTAAATTAAAATTTTGATTTTAGTTTCTTCTAAACATGGGCTAAATGTATAAAGGTGGAGAAATAAAGTTGCATG